TTTTTTTTTTTTTTTTTTTTTTTTTTTTTTTTTTTTTTTTTTTTTTTTTTTTTTTTTTTTTTTTTTTTTTTGTAGTTGTGCACTTTATTGAAAAAAAGGAAAATCTTCCAATTTCAATCAGGATGGATTTTCCAAGCGCATGGGACAAAGACGACTTTAAAGTGATATATTGACGTGTCGATTGTTAGGTTAGTACCACACTTTTTGGGATCTTTTAATTTAATATATACCTGCAATAATGTCCATAGAAACTATTCGAAGTAGAAAACTTTCTCCACTTTTTGTTCTTAAGTTTATTTCCTAAATGAACATTGGAGGATTTTTGTTTTTTCAGGCTATACGGAATGCGTGGATGATAACATAGAAATTTTGGTCCCTGATGATGATGATGGCCTGTATGCGATTGATATTTTAGATCCATCTGCGGTAAGATCACATGAAACTACTTTTTCATCTTTTTTTTATAAGAGATAATTTCAATGATATTTGAAACACCAAAAGGATGTGTTATCATGAATGTGACAAAAAACCTTATCAATTTACAATGAGGGAAGTATTACTATAGGAAGTAAAAGTGTTAGACGAGTTTCACCAATAAATGGTTAGGTAAACAACATTTTCGAAGAGCCTAGTATAAGTATGTCTCTTATTCGTGAATACTCTTTCTTTCCATAGGTACCAAATGAAAGCCATAATTAGTTTTGTCCATAGCAGAGCCTTTGTATTCTTGAAGGGGTGGATGTTAAAGACCGTTTCCAATAACTCATTTGCCTCCGTAGGAAAAGTGAGGTGACATATGAAGATATAGAGGATCTTTACCCAGAAACTTAAGTGTATATATACTGCATAAATAGATGGTTTTGTGATTCGTTGTCTTTCTTGCCCAAAGGGCACCAATTTGGAAATAAAGCTAGGTAGGACATTCTTTTTTTTTTTTTTTGTAGGTTTTCATATGTGCTAATGAGTTTACGCATCATTTCCCTTAGGAAAAAATGTACATTTTATACGATGATTTCCTTTCCATTTTATCTTTGCTAGTGTGGGGTTATGGCTTCTACCTTTTTGTGGAGAAAACTCCATCTGCACTAGGAAGTCATTTCAACGAGTCCACTTCATGGGATAACATAATTTGAGTAAGGTCAAGACTTAATTCGGCCATTTTATTGCTTTGTTATCCTTTAAGGTTCCACTGAGCTGTAGGTTCCAAAATTTGTTGGCATCTTTCCATATTTTTTTGATCATTGCCATCTTGTAATGACAGAGTCTATACAAAAGAGGATAGCACAAAGCTAGCATGGTGTTGTCAATCCAAGAATCAATTCAGCAAGATGTGTTTCCTCCATCACCCACCCATTGGTGAATGTGGTCGGTGATGAGGTTTTGGTGCTTGTTTATGCACTTCCATGGCCCCTTTGTAGAAGGTGGGTGGACAGATTTGCACATTATTTAGGAGCGTATTTAGTCTTTAAAGATTTCTCGACAAGGTGGTGCTTTCATGGTAATATTTCCATATCCATTTGGCTAGGAGGACTTTGTTCTTCTCCTCTATTGAATATAGGCCAAGACTTCTCTTGTCTAACGGGAGATTTATGGTATTCAATCGAACAAGATGTGATCCCACTTTCCACATATAGTTTCTGAATAATCTTTCTATGTCTATAGTCACTTTGAGACATTTCGAATAGAGACATGTAGTAAGTAGGAAGGTTAGACAATGTGTTCGAATAGAGACATGTAATAAGTAGGAAGGTTAGACAATGTGTCTTGTGTTAGAGCGAGTCTTCCGCCTTTGGAACTGTAGCACGATGATCATGTCTATAACCTTATTTCTATGTTTTCAATGATGGTCTTTCAAAAGGAGAAAGGTTTAGGGTTCCCATTTAAGGGCATTCCCAAGTACATATTCGATCATTCACCATTTTTACAACCTTATTTGTTGATGGAGTTGTCAATATCCACTGTCCTAACATTGATGTCCATTATCTCTATTTCTTGTCGGTTGATGCTTTGCCTCGAGAACCTCTGGAAGGTTTTCACTGTATCAAGCATGTTTTTTACATTTTTAATTTAAGATATTAGGGAACAAGAAACAAGAAATGATTACAAATATGAAGGAAAAAAAATTTACCAATCACAATTTAAAAAATAAAATAAAATAGAGGGTACAAAAAACAAGAAATAAAAAACTAGAAACGATAAACATGAAACAAAAACTTTACCAAAAGGGCCACAAAGTGTATTTTTTAATTGTTTTCTTTACTCTTCTTTTTCGGTTCTTGAGTGTGTACTAGAGGCCAGAATTGCTAATGCTTAATATGAATTTCTTGCGAGACATAGGCTTCCTTCAGTTACTGACTTCCACCATTTATTGTCGATTTCATTCAATGATTCAAGTTGATTGTTGTCCCTGCTGTAAGAGTGATTAAGCAACTCCTCCTGCTATGTTTCTTCTTCATTACTATTATCATGCTTCCAAAATGACTCAACAATTGCATTATATCCGGTTCTTGGGATATTGATCTGAAGAATTTTACTAATTTGCTTGATCTGTTTTTATCCATCATACTATACCAGAGTTTTCTTTTTACTGTTACAGGTGGTAAAATGCCTCCATGTGGATGACGTTTATCACTTTCATAATATAATTGATATGCTTGTTGGATGCGGCTACAAGAAGGGAACGACATTGTTTGGTTTTGGTTATGATTTCCGGCAGAGTAATAGGTAGATCATTCTTCATCTCTTGTTTTAGTATCAAAATTTCATGTATGATTTAATTGCTAGTAGCCGAAAGTGTATGCATGAATCAACATTGATGTAGGAGCATTGGTTGTTGGTGACAGAATTGGCAAGGCTATGGATGGTCTTAAAGCGAAGCTGGAAACTGCTAGTAAAGCTTCTGGTGGTAGAAAAGTGAACATAATATCTCATTCTATGGGTGGGCTGCTACTTTCGTGTTTCATGTCACTCCATAATGATGTACGCACGTATTCTCTTGACTAGTTGAAACTTGCATCGATGAGCACGAACTTGTTTTATGGATTCGGCATGATGTGCTTATTGTTGATTGGCAGATTTTTTCCAAATACGTAAATAAGTGGATTGCTATAGCTTGCCCTTTCCAAGGTAATTCAAACCTATTGCTTATTTCCATTCATCAATAGCTGTAATCTGAATCTAGTCCAATCATTGAAACTGCTCCTTATGTGAACAAATTCCTTTGATCAAGTTGTCCTTCTAATTTAGTTTCTCATTATTATTTATTTGATAGTAAACATTAGGAAAAATTGAATGTATGACGATCTAACACAAAATAATAGCAAATATAGCACAAGCTCAAAATATTTGCCAATATGACACAATTGTAAGCCATATCAGTCTGGACTGAGGTCTATCACTGATAAACCTATCACTGACTGATATCGATCTATGATTGAGGTCTATCACTGATAAACCTCTCAATGATTGTTTGCATGCTTGTTTGCTATTACGTTATTACTAATATATTATTATCATAGAATATAAATGTAGTGGCTTCTTCTTGTCGCACTCTATATCTTTGTTTTTGTTCGTTTTGTCTTCTTCTTTCAATATCCTTTAGGCCAGTGAATATTGTGTTCCATGGAGGTGATGAGCTTCTGCGTCCATAACATTAACTTTTGTATTTGGCTTGAAATCGACATGAGTTTGTTGAAGACATGAAGTACAAGTTGAAAATTCCCTTCTGTCTTTCATCTGTTTTGTATAATTCTCTAATTGATCCATTGCAAAATCCTGTACACTCATTTTTTCTTTGTAAGCAAGTCAAAGATGTTTCTGAGACTATCCGTTTGGCCAAGTATAGGATTCCCCAAGAAAGAAAATTCAAGTATCAGTTGGAAATTCGAATGTATAGTTTTTTGGGAAATGATTAGAGATTTTCTCTTAAAGATTTGAGAAAAAGCACTCATCTTTCACTTTTCCGAATCATGTCAGGGAAAAATATTGTAGTCGGAGCTAGTTAAAGATAATCAACTTCATAAAAGAAAAATAAAATGCTTGTACATTTTGAGTGAGGAAAGAAAAAGAAGTGGAAATGAACTTCAATTTTGTCTCGGTGGTTTCTAGATTGCTAGCTCACAATTCTTGGAAGGACATTCATGATTGGTACATGATCATTAGAACCCTACAATCCTTGCTCAACCATTTCTTCCATCTAAATCCTTTTAGGGTGGACAAGGCGTTCCTCTGTTGCACGAAAAAAGTGGCAAGCTCTCGGTTGTAAATAGAACCATGGTAGATGAGGAACACTTGAACAACCTAGTGGTTCCTTCATATGGAGGATGAATTAAAATAAAAAACCTACATCTCACCATTAGGATTTTGAGATGCTAAAACACGTAGGAAATATCTGTGGAGGTTTTGTTGAGATTGCCAAAAAGACCTCATCATGCGTGGATTTGATGGAAGCCATCATTTGACAAGGAAAACTCATGGAGTTCATACCAGGGAAAGTCTCTCTCCCATCATCATTGAAAAATCCTCTTTTGTTCAACATAAACCCCTATTTTAATGGCGATTTTTTTTGTTGATTTTATGGCTGGTTTCCATGGCACTAGAGTAGCACTAAAAGGAATCCACATTGTTAATGATACTGAGGTTATCACTAACAACTCAGGAGGCATTTTTTGGGCCGCTCCCTCGTTCAACCCTCTGGGGTTCAGGGTTCATCACTGAAAGGGACTTATACTTGGTCGAACAACAGACCTCCGGATAAGAATCATGTGTTCCACTAGTTTCAACTTGACCTATTACACGATCGAAGACCAAGAAGATTCAACAAGCGTTCATTTTAAATCTACATGACCATTTAGAGCTTTGGAAGTTACGATTTGCAAGATTGAAGTGAAGCATGTGATTGTCATAAATTTCACTTGATTGATAATTTCTTTGAAGAGTTTATTTATTATTTTAATTTCATAACTTCTTTTAGTGGGTATTTGAAGGGTAGTGGGATGAACTTGACAATCATGGCCACTAACTTCTTTTAGTAAACATTTGAAGGGTTGAGGGTTTCTTTTGTGGGAAGGCTATCTATACCCACAAAATGGTATGTAAAAAGAAAATTATGAGATTTTGGGGGAATGAAATTGAGCTCTCAATTTAGACTTTCACCCTTAAAAATTTGATCCTTTTCTAAGACTTCAAGCAATTCTTGTGGTAGATTTCATCTAAACCATTTAATTAAGCCTTAATTAAGTCTGATTGTGGAGTAATGCAATTTAAAACAAGGTTTCAAATCTGGTTTTTAGATCTTTGATCTTAAAATGTAATCTAATTCTAGCCTTATCTCTTGGTTGATTCAAATTTTGTACAAGGAGGTCTAGTTTCTTTAATTCAAGGGTTCTTGCTTCAACAAAAACTTGGATTGTTGGGCTGAGGATTAGGATTGCCTTATCATCCCCACCCACCTTTAACACTCATTGACAGACTTTTGTCCAAGGTCTCCTAGGAAAATTTAGTAATGCTGGTGTTGAAGACTGAATAGGCCTACATCATATCATTATCTCATTGTCCTTTCTATGGGTTACTTCAAATGGCCCCTCACCCTTCTGTTTTGAGTATATGTGGCTGGAACACACTGATTTTTTGCCCACAATAGAATACAAGTGGAAGAACACGCCCCTTTGTGGATGACGAGACACAAAATTCATTAACAAACTCAAAGGGCTAAGAGAAGTCTTCAAGCAATGGAACAAGAACAATGTTATCCATGAAAAAGTTATTACTTATGGACACATTAATGGTCTATCAGTAATAGACACACAAATTGTTTATCAGCGAAAGACATAAAAATGGTTGATAAGTGACAAAAATCTTTTAATGATAGACCTAGAAATGGTCTATCAATGATAGAGATATATCATTGATAAACTATAAAAATAATCGATCGGTGATAGAAGTCATCATCGATAGATTATAAAAACGACATATTAGTGATAGACCCAAAAAATTAAAAAAAAAATTCATATTTGCAAATTTGACAACTAATTTTACCTCACCCATTTCATTCTAATAGTTCGTTATGAAGCAGTCGACGATATTCACTGTACAAATGATTGACAGGAGCACCAGGATGCATCAATGATTGCCTGCTGACTGGATTGCAATTTATCGAAGGCTATGAAAGCCAATTTTTCGTATCTAGATGGACATTTCACCAGCTGGTAACTTTCCTCCTGTCAGTGTCTAGGTGGTTTAGTTTACACCTAAAATGATTGCAAGGGTATTTTTTTTAATCATTATTGACAAGTTGGATACCTTATCAACCATTTTTTCATGCATATCTTTGTCTCATTAATGATATTGTGCTTTTGTTCTCAATGATACCATTTCTTTGTGTATGATATGTCATAGGTCTACTAATGATATTTACGTGCAGTTGGTTGAATGTCCTTCAATTTATGAGATGCTGGGAAATCTAGGATTTAATTGGCATGCACAACCACAGATCCAAGTTTGGCAAAAGAGTTCTGTTGATGGGAAAACTTCTGTTGAATTGAAATCATATGGCCCAACTGATAGCATTGCTTTATTCGAAGAAGCATTAAGAAATAACCAGGTACGACACTTCACGTTGATTCTGTTAAAAAGTCATCTGGCCCAAGCTAATTTTAATTTCAATTATTGCAGATAAAATTTCATGGAAAGACTATTCCTCTGCCCTTTAACTTGGATGTTCTCAAATGGGCTACTGGTACTCGCCAAGTAATTGATAATGCAAGCCTACCAGATGGAATCTCCTTCTATAATATTTATGGGACATCGTTCGATACGCCTTTTGATGTGTGGTATGTTATGAACTTTGCATTATTATGTGTTAGATGCATATTTAGTTTTCAGTAAAATGACTGTCTTTCATATCATTGTAATGATAAATTATGAATGGGTCAGTGTAGTAGTCCAGAGGTATGGCTGTTTTCTCATTGCTTTGTATAAATTTGATATCAATTCATTGATGTTAATGCCTCTGTTTCAAATTAAATAATGAACATATGGTATTAACTATGATGCAGCTATGGTTCCGAGTCGTTGCCGATTGAGGACTTGTCTGAAATCTGCAAAACTTTGGTGAGTGATTCAATTTCCTTTTGCTTTTATGTGTTAGGCATTTCTTCTACTTAAGTTAGACATTGTTCAGGTTTTCAACCTTTTTTTTATCTTCTGATTGGATTGTTTTTTGGGTTCACTGTTCATGGTTTTAAGATGGTCTATTTGTTTGGACAATCGCATCATCTTTTAGTTTCTTGTTTGAATATGCTGTGTGAGATCCCAGATCGATTGGGGAGGAGAACGGAACACCCTTTATAAGGGTGTGGAAATCTCTCCCTAGTAAACGCGTTTTAAAAACCTTGAGGGGAAGTCCGAAAGGAAAAGTCCAAAGAGGACAATATCTCCTAGCGGTGGGCCTGGGCCGTTACATACAAAATGTTAAAAGAGTCATTGATGGCTAAAGTTCCTGGCACATGCTGAACAACCTTACTGTCCAAATTACTACTATTCGACATAATGGGGATGTCTTTCTTCATTGGTCCCGAACTGTTTGGATCGATTTCTTAAGTATCATACCAAATCCCATCAATAGAATAGCTTTTTCGAGAAATACGAGGCATAAATCCTTTTTAGCCCAAATTTTTGTCAGTGGCGATCTCCAATTACAAAGAGACTTTCGAGCCCTTCAACACCAAACATGGAAAATTCTTCTTAAAGAGGAGAAATACTACTAAATGACCTTTATCTTTATTTATTTTTTGTCTTTAATTTCTTGTCTTTTCTGGCTTTGATTAATTTATCAAATGTTTGGCTGTTGAAGTAAATATTGTTTTTGATACATTCCCATTTTGACCGATCAACCAAATAACAATTTTTTAAATGTGATAACAATGAGGTGAATGGGGACCTCTGAATAATATGATATTCTTCATTGTGTATAAGAACTACCAATATATGACTGACTGCTTATCACACTTGTTTTTCTTCTCCGCAGCCTCAGTATTCTTATGTGAACGGAGATGGTACAGTTCCCAGTGAATCAGCCAAGGTGTGCTATTTCACCAAATTTAGTTCATGCATTCAAAAAACATGTTTGTTGTCGTTGTGTTCGTGCGCGCGTGCGTGTGTTGTTTTATTTACATAACGTGCATCTTTCCTTTGGAAGGCGGATGGTTTTGAAGCAACTGAGAGAGTAGGAGTCGCAGCGAGTCATCGAGGGCTTTTGAAGGACGAAACAGTGTTGCAGCTTATCCAGAAATGGTTGGGAATTGATGAGAAGGTTAGTAAACACCTAACAACTTCCAAAGTGTTCGATGCTTCTCTGAAGTAGAAGTGTGGCTAGTGTAAGTTTAAAAATAAGGCATAAATATTGTATTAGTCATTTGTATTCTAGCATATCAGTAGAATCATAATGACGAAATAGCCCAAATTAAGGATAGAAACACATACATACATGACTAGCGTGCTTTACAAACATACATTATCAAAATCATGGCTTTACAAACCTAAAAAAATCATTCACATGACTACCGTGCTTTACTTTTTAAAATAACTTGGGACTTTATTTTCAGTAACTTATCATACCCATAAGTTGTAGATTGAAGCTTGCAATTGGCTTCCAACTTAGGGTAACTTCCAATTTCAATTGTCTTATTTGCAACTATACACGAGAATGTCATAAGTTAGGAGCTATACTACAACTCCTACCTTGAGTCCAAAAAGGCTTATTAGAGTATTACCTAATGATTCATACTTTCACTTAGCTCTTCTTGATTTTACTCCAAATAGGTTCCATTATGTAAATTGAAACTCCATAAGGTCTGGATAGGTCAATTAAATAATGGTCTAATTCAGGACACCTTCAATAGACCAAACACCTTTGAATTGTGAACGGTGATTAAAGGTTTAAACCCGAGTGCTTCAAGATTAAGAAAAACCCAATGAGCTAGAATAGTGAGTCTTGGGGTTAAGAGTCCATGTTTTAAAGCTGCCTAGATATCTTAGGAGCCTAATAAGCCTCCATGGCATTCAAGGATGATTAACAAAGCTTTCAAGGCCGCTAGCAGTGTGAACGATGTCACAACAATCACTCTTGCCTATATTGTCTGATACCCTAATAGCATTATTAGCGATTTAGGTTGGACCCAATAGCTCCACTGCCAAGCAATAGTTCTAGAGAAATAGGACTATCAAGTTGGGTCTAGGTTGAATAGAGTAGCGCATTGATAGAACTAGGTGCCATTGCGGAAATGCCAAAGGTCTCCTAAACAGAACCTTTGTAGTGTAACCATCCTGAGAAGGGGCATGGAACCACACATGTTAATATAGTAGGTGGTCGACACACGTAGAGTTACTTTATGGTCCCATGGAAGGGTTTATCAATTGACCTTCCATGATGTTTAGATCAGTAGAAGTCATATTGTCCTACCAACAAAAGATGTTTGGTCATTCGCTGCATGGACAAAGCAAAGCATCTGATCAAAACTTTGAGGTTTCTCCAGTTACACGAATAGTTATAAGGTTTAGGCCCAAACTTCCTAGAACTTAGAGAAAAGGCCGTGAGATAATTTACTAGGATATGAATACAATGAGAACCTACAAGTATATTGATTACTGAATATTTTTATACTCACTCCATTTTTTTTTCAAGTGATTGTTGACTTTTGGTCGAGATAGAGGAGTGCTCGAGAGTTGCATAGTCATAGAGAGGGATTCATCTCAAAGTATCTCTTTGTGCATTTTGAAGTTTTTACATTTGTTTGAATTTACATTTCGACAATAGGCATTTAGGTGTGGTGTGGTGGATAATAGGCATTTAGGTGTGGTGGATTAAACAAACATTCTCACATGGGAGTCTTTTAGTTGTCGAAATCATATGATGGTGAACAAGGAATGGGAAATGGAGGGTAAGATTAAGAGAATGAGAGTTGGAGACAACACCTTAAAAGCATTTCTATCCACCATGGTCACAAACAACTAAGTATTTATTGAATTCCCTAAATTATATGTTCGACCACATTTGTATATATAATGTGGTTAATGGCCCTATGATTTCAAATTATATACTATATATGGTGTAATTATAGAGTACTATTCTGTGGCCATTATATCAACTAAGAAATGAACTCATTTATAGTTTAACCAAACAATCGTCTATTGGTAAAAAACGAAAAGAAAAAAAAAGTTTAATTAAACGATGTGTCTATTTGAAATGTAAGTAGTGAACAAGTTCTCGATAGATTTTTGGAGGATTTACCAAAAGTACCCCTTTCCCGAACTCTAGATTTTTGCATAAGGGTATTAGCTCTATCTCCCCGGCCCTCATACTGCATGATACCAATGTACCGAAAGAACTCAAGGTACAGTTGCAAGAATGACTAAATGAGGATTTTATCTATCTCAGCGTATCCCTTTGGGATGCGCCCGTGATATTTGTCAAGAAGGATCAATCAATGCGTTTGTGTATTGATTATAGGAAATTGAATGAGAAAATGGTAAATAATAAGTACCCTCTCCCTTGCATTTGAGGGCCTATTTGAACAACTCATTAGAATAGTATTTTCCACGATAGACCTAATGTCAGGCTACCATTAAATCAAGATTAGGGATGGGGATGTGTGAAAGACAACATTCCGAATAAGGTACGACCACTATGAGTTCGTGGTCATGTCGTTCAGACTCACCACCTCTTTCCTCTCTTTATATTTAAAATTTCTTGGACTGCGTCTTTACCATATTGATCCATCTCCTCCACCTCTTCCTCACTGCACATTCCTCGATCAAGATTCTCTCCATGTGATATTTGTTCTAACCTTGTGGATGAGTCTGTGTAGTACTTCTCTTGTAGGTTCCTCTTTGCCCCCTCAGCTTCTAATCCACCTTCTATTGAATCTACTGCTGATTCCTCTTCTTTTTTGAACTCTCATCCTATGATCACACGAGCTAAAGTTCGTATTTTGAGGATTCGTCATCTAGCAAATCTTGGTATTTTAGGCTCATCTGAACTTTTTTCTACTTGTCTTCCATCTTGCCAAGAGAATTCAAATCTAATGTTAAGAATACTGCTTGGCTTGCTGCCATGGATGTCTAAATTTAAGCTTTACAAAAAATGACACTTGGATTATGGTTCCCCGCCCTGCCAACACCAACATCATGGGCTCTAAATGAGTGTTCCGCACTAAATATTTGTCTGATGTATATGTCCAGCGTTTGAAGGCTCGTCTTGTTGCCAAAGGTTATACTCATATTCATGGTCTCGACTACACTCTTTCAATCCGGTTGTCAAAACTACTATTGTCTGTGTTGTGTTTTCTCATGTTGTCACAAATAAATCGCCTCTTGGTAACTTGATGTCAAGAATGCTTTCTTTAATGACACTCTTAGTGAACATGTTCATATGGAACATACTTTTGGGTATATTCATCCTCACTTTTCCACACATGTATGTCCATTAAATAAAGCCCTCTATGGCTTAAAGCAAGCTTTTCGCACTTGGTTTCAATGTCTCAACTCATTTCTTCTCACACTTAGTTTTTCTTGGAGTCGTGCTGACACGTCTCTTTTTACCTTTCATTAGCAATCTAACCTTATTTATTTGCTTCTTTATGTCGATAACATTATTGCTATTGGCAACCATCCATTTATTCTTGGCAACTTTACACATGCTTTATTCTGAGTTTACTACTAAGGATTTGGGCTCTTAGTCTCATTAGGTGCATTTTCATAATGGTTGGTTTATGGTCTAAACATGCTCTTATAGCCTTGAAGCCATGCACAATCAAATATAACCTAATAAATCTGTCTCATATGCGATTTCAAGTGATTCAAGGTTCATTTAAACCATGAAATACAAGAGCATTGTGATCATTTTACTCTCTATCGTTTGTTAATGGCCTAACCATGCTCCTATGATCTATAAATTTCAACATATATCATTATTCCATGGTACAGGCTATACTCTAAATTTTCATGCACAACGAACATCATTAAATGGGTCAATTTCATAGAAAATACTTTACTAATTGAGGATTGTTGGGAGGGAGTCCCACATCGGTTAATTAAGGAGATGATCGCGTTTATAAGTAAGGATCTCCATTAGTATGAGACCTTTTGGGGAAACAAAAAATAAAGCTACGAGAGCTTATGTTCAAAGTGGACACAATATCATATCATTGTGAAAGTTCGTCGTTTCTAACATCTTTGGAGTTACACAAAATTTTGAGTTACAAGAAAAGATAGTACCAAGTACAGAAAAGGTTAGCATAGCTTCTGTTTTGGACAATTTTTAATATTTCACACGGTTTAGGACTGATTTTAGAATAGTGAAGTTATATTGACACCATAAATAGACCTTAAACTTGATTTTATGAATGAATGGAATATTATAGGTGAACCTGAATTTAGGCTGACCCTAGGAACAAATAGTTAGGATGAGCTTAGGAGCACCAAGCTGAGTTTGACACGGTATGTGAACTTGCCGTTGAAATTCCTATGCGCTAGGTTGGATGCAATTGTTTGATGCATGAATAACACACTCTATGTGGACCTATTTACATATTATTTATGTTATAATATTTGAATGAACTATGTGATACGTGTACTTATTTTTTATATTTGATTAAGATCACTACGTTGATATGACCATGGTTATACCTTACGAAATGTACCATGTATGATATGCATAAATGAAATACCATGAATATGTATGTATATCTCATAAGAAATTTACATAATAGAAGCATTATATGCATCATCTCATTGAACCATGATTTTAATGCGAAATATTTTACAATGTTATATGTTATTAATAAGTTCATATAGTGGGTTCACGTGCGTACATGCATGGACCATATGTAGGGAATACTATACATTCAACCCTATTAAAAAAAAAAAAAAAGTAGAGCCCAATCAATAATCATGAAAATTAGGTCCCAAAAATCCTGATACATGATGTATATGGATGTATTTTCTGACACCAAGAGTGTGGTCATGTATGAGTCACATTGTCTGTCGAGTGTCATGGTCATACTTGTTAAGGGCGTGTTGCTTGTGGCCACATGTCATGTCAAACTCTTTTATCTGCTTTAATGTTATATTGTTTTACTGTGTGTGACTCATCAACAAAATCATGTCTACTCTTGCTAGATATGAAATATCTCAAAATATATTATAGGGATCAAATAGGTATTGAACCTTTCCAAGATCAAGTATGGTACGCTCTCTTGCCCACATATTTTCAATGTAGTTAAAACTAAAAATGCTTTCTTTCAAACTATTTTCAACTTACGTTCTCGATAAACACTTTCTCTCAAAACATAATTTAACGCTCCACCTTTTGTTGAGATTATCCGCAAAGCTCAAATTTTACATGGTTGGCTTATTTGTTGTGTTAGAACAAAGTCACGGACAAAAAAGTGTGATTGTGATATTAAGAAGACCATAAAACAAAGTCACAGACAGTTTATTTCACATTTAAG